TATGTATGTATGTATGTATGTATGTATGTATGTATGTATGTATGTATGTATGTATGTACGTACGTACGTACGTACGTACGTACGTACGTACGTACGTACGTACGTACGTATGTATGTATGTATGTATGTATGTATGTATGTATGTATAAATGTATGTATGTATGTATGTATGTATGTATGTATGTATGTATTGTTACGCAGTCTTCTATTGTGAGAAATTAATCTCCTATTTTAAATTGATGGCTCGTTCAAACAATGCCTACCAAAGGACGATACCATAGAGAAATACAATAACAAAAATACAACACCCAAAACAGGACGAATTACAATTAATAAGATTTAATTTACTTATAATACAATTAAAAAACAAAAGAAATCTAATTACAAATCATCAACTTACAGAGTATGGGAGATCTTGTACCTGTAGACCATTAGTACAAGGTGCCAATGAATAATGATGAATGATAAATGCAAATAAACACATATGAGCACACAAAGAATAATACACGTCTTGTAAAGTTAATAATGTCTATCTGAATCTCCGTCGGAATCTCACTCTCCGTGCCTTTTAATCCCTTATAAATGTGGGTCAACCGACGCGTCTAGAAAATGCCTTTACTTTTCTAGGACAAATCGAGATCATTCGACAAGATACTGGGAGACATACTAACGATGTTTAATTAGTGGTCTGTAGTAAACAAGATACATCAAAGACTAAGCCACGCCCAGCACAAACGCTACCGTCTGCTAGTGATCTAATGTGGGGTTTAAGAAAGTTCAAGCACGGGAAAAAAGTGTACTACATAACAGTATATGTGTATGTATGTATGTATGAATGTATGTAAGTATGTCTGTATGCATAAATGTATGTATTTATGTATGTATATATGTATGTATGAGGTATGCATAAAATATGTATGTAAGTGTTGTAAATTGATAAAATGATGAATGCTAATTGCGCATTCTTTTGCACACCACATTATTTATTGTGTAGTGACTTCATGTTTTGATGCTGTCTTGTCTAGTGCTCAATGTTGGTGGGACTCCATGTCGTTCTCCTAAAATACACGTTGAGCTAACCTTGATGGTTGCCCCTGCTTGTTTGATTATCTTCCTTGTGAAGTACATTAGCAACCTAATATTTTCAACATGTTTATATGCATGTAATGTATGTTTGTATGCATGTATTAATGTATATTTTTATGTATGTATCCATGCCTGTATGATGTATGTCTGATATATGTATGTGTGTTTGTATCTATGTATGTATCTATCTATCCATCTTTGTATCTATCTATCTATCTATCTATCTATCTATCTATCTATCTATCTATCTATCTATCTATATATATATATATATAAATATATATATATTTATTTATCTGACTATCATTTATCTATGTATCTATCCATTCCTGCATCTATTTATATTACTATTTATCTATCTTTGTATCATTCTTTTTTTTATTTATTTAGCTATATTTTTAAGCTAAGTTAACATAACATTATTTTCCTAGCTTCTAAACTATTGTAGTTAGTATTCATCTTACTTAATAACAGGCTGGTTTAACCTCTTTTTAATTGACATGGTACCTGACTAAAAAGACCAATTAAGAAATGAGATTATAGGCCTCGAATTTCTAAATTTCTTGCATTCTGGGATCATTAACGTATCTGGAAATGTGTATTGTTCAAAACAAATTTTGCTTGACCTATGTTTTTTTCGAAAGGAATTTTGTTCTTATAGAAAATGGCTCGAAAAAAATATGAAAAATACTACAAACAAATTTATTCATTTTATTTTAAAATATTTGATGAGAAATTCGACTGAGAAGTGTTTAAAATATTAACATTTAAGATAATACTATTTTCACATTATTTCATATTGAAAAAAAGTCTTATTCAAGCAAATTGTTGTTTGAATAAGCTATCATTCGATCAAATTGTTGAACAATTTTCATTTGGACTTTTTTTCTCAACCGAAAATTTACATTTAAGGAATTCGTTAATAGTCCATTCCTTTCAAAATATTTAGAAATGAATGTCAGCTCATACTTATATTGGAGACATTCTTCATGTATTACTTCGGTCCAGAATCTAGGTGATAGGCATTGTTTCCATTCAAAAATTGCATAACATGCCTGCTTGATGCAAAGTTGTGTATTTTCTTTCAGATTAAAGATGTTACCAATCCGTCTGTTTGATCTCGAAATATTTACGCTGGCGTTTGAGTTTGACAATGGTGTCAGAACAGTTTTTTTTTTTTTTTTGAGCTATGATAGACGGCCCAAAATTAACCTTGTTATTGTATCTATTGTTTACAAATTTCGTCGATCTGAAAGTGTATTGATTGGCTACAAGGAGAGGACTTGTAGGCCAGGGACGGTTTTGACACATGAGAGTCGAGAAGGTATCCTACATCAGATTCTACGGTTGTCTTTAAAAAGTCTACGACCAATGACTTTGAAGCTGAATATCCTCCATATGTCGGTGCAACGTTTATATTAAGACAAGAACGTTCCATGGTGATGTTTTAATGTTGAAATTATGGCCATGGTGCTCAGGGATGAGAATTTTTTAGGTATGTGTGGTGGTAATCGGGCGAAAGTAACATTCAATCTTACAAATCTCCGGTACCGGTACATTAATAGCAGGACAACACGCTGCATTGGGTTTGAGCCGCCAGATGCTATTGTCCAGAAACCACTAGACAGTACAGTTTTTACGATATGGTGTGCCGTTTAAGTGCACATTATTTTAGGCCACTTTAAAATTGGGGATAGGAAAGATATTGCTCTTAACATCACCTTCCAAGGTATGATAATCACTAACTTTTTTTAGTGTTAAATAATTTTTGGTCCGTGTGTTGTGTCATGATGTGTCTTATTGTGCCTTGATGGTCACATGATGACCCAGAAAAAGGACAATAAACAATTATGTGAATAGGCCTATACAACGTGAGATTGCGAGATTTCAGGGTAGTAGATTACGGAGAGAGATCATGATCAAGTTAGTGAGTGATAGTGCGGTGTATCCTGGATTATTGCTTTTTGTTGATAATATTTTATGATGAGGAGGTACCGGTACCACGTGGATCAGTATGACCTTTGCGCAGAATAAAGATGAGCCATATTAACACATGAAGTGTTGGTTTTCTAGTATTCAGTGGGCCTAATTCTTTGTGCAGAGGGGGAGAGTGCTAAACAAACCCTACAAACAACGTTGCCAGAAATACTCGAATAGTCTTGACTAAACAAAACAGAGTATTTTGGCAGTAACTCATAAATGGTGATTGAGTCATTTCGTCTCGCAAGGAACCTTCACATGAATAGCCATCAATATCAAAATGATCTCATAAAAAAAAAGAAACAACATATGGATCAATTCATTCGGAGTGACATTCAATTTGTCTTCAATGAAATTTCAGACGCAAGGACATTTTACATAAATTGTAGACAAAAGTGTTTGAAATTGAAATGTTTAATTTCTTTTTAAAAAATCAAATTTAAATTTTATTTGGGTGGGGGCGGGGGAGGTTGAAAAATTGTATTGGATTGAACGGATATGTTTTATTGAATAGTTTGGATTTCAAAAGTTAAGGTATTAGTATTTTAGTTTTTTTGCAACATTATGTTTGAAAAGTGTAATCAAATAGCAACGATACAAAATGTTGGTTCATTTGAAGACTATGTTTAATAATTTATATTTTTTGTATTAATAACTTTGATTTTTTTTTTATCTCTACAGGCAAATGCTGCAGAAAAAATAAATATGACTGATAAATATTATTGGAACCAGGTTAATTTTGGTATGAATATAGGCGCGATGATCACAGCTAGCATCAACTTCATATTCTGGGTTGTTGATATCGTGTTTCTAAGATGTAATCCTAAAAAAATGTTGAGATCAACAAAGAATTTCTCAAGAAAGCGTTTGAATTTTCCTTCTGAGTGCGTAAAATATTCTTATTTTAATTAATTGCACTAGATGATACATTTTCGAAAAAAAATCAATTAAAATTATATTATACGAAATCCTTGATATTAAGAATGTAAATGTGATTGATAAATCATTACACATTATTTAGTAAATTAAAAATTTGAAATTATGATGGTTAAAATAGTTATGAGCATGCAAAAGTATTTCGAAAGTAACATCTTCTTTAAGTTGATTATAGTAGCTGTGTCTAAACTCTAATTAAATAATATTTAGTGAAGAGCCTTGCAACATATCCTTTTTTGAAGCAGTAGTGTTGATCAATCTATTTCTAGCTATGCTAAAGCTATGGTCAATGTACGTAAGTCATGCACTTTACCCAAATCAGAACTAAAAATTTAACGCAATGAAATTAACATCTGATTGGTTAATATATTTATCATGCATGTCTGGGGTTTCAAAAGAAAACTTTGTAAATGTTTCTTTTAGTATTTATGAGTGAGAGGGCACTGGTCCAAGAAAAGTAATTTGGGGAATCAGTTGAGAAAAGTTTAAGTGGTAATAAATAATAATGATGTAAGTGTAAGTGCGAGTAAGTGTCAAGTTTTGAAGAGTTTTGGTAATATAAATGTAGGGGGATTGCTAAGACTAAGTGAGATTTGTTTACAACTTGATGGTGATAAAGGATTTTAAAAAAAAAATAATTAGAAACAAAAATATACCAAGCCTTCAAACAATATAACAATCTATCCCTGGACGCCCGTATTATTTGTTGATGCACTGGTGTAGGCAGTTTCCAGACACACCCGGAAGACTGAATGCGATGAAAGACAATGACATAAAAAAAAAAACCAGATGCTCACATAATGACATTTATTTATTAATATTGTGTGATAGTTTCATTAGTCCTAATATTAAATATTAATTTTTTTAATTAACAGTTGGGTTCATTTAGTATTTTTACGGAGGTTACTCGGTAAATTTACCAATACAATGTATATAAAGTAATGACAGCGTGACGTTTTAAATTTTAGTTGTTCCTATGTTAACTGCACAACTTACATTTGTTATAAAATAAAATGTCGATGTCTTTATTAGAAACGTATATGTAATTAAATAAAATGTTGAAGCCTTTGCAAAGAAAATCTAAATCGACTGTGATAAACATATTAATAAGCTTTTATGTTTCTTTCAAATCATTATTTTTTTATAAAATTCCAGTGCATTCCCCACATTTTTTCAAAATTTTGAAAATGTCAAGTTAATAAATGTGATGACAGGTCTTCATTTTCTGTAAGTTCATAATTTTTTCATTAATATTTAAAAAACTATTGTGACTGTTAGTAAAACACGGCAAGTTCGATGAAAAACATTTCTCATTTGAATATCTCAAAAACGAAAGAAATGTTTGTTGATTTCCGAGGGGTGGGGGAGGGGGGGTGTATATCATCACATTGCGGATTTCAAAATAAAATAATCAAAACACAAATAGAGACATTTAAGTATCTAATTTTTACTAAAAATATCAGCCAAAGACTTTTTTATTTTAAACAGTGCTACAATTTCGGCGTATGCAAACAAGTGAACCCATTCTACGGTGCAACAATTGAAAGCTTAATTAAATTTCTTATAATTGATGGTGTGTGAATTCATAATCGGATATCAAACACCGATTAAAAAGACCAATCAAGAAAACTAAAAACTAAATATCATGCACTTGCAGAGATATGTGAATAAAAAATCCTGGTACACATCATCTATCGCAACATCATGAGCCACCATGAACAGTACAACATTTCGACAAACCTAAATCACGGTTTACTCTTCGGATTCTCAATAGAAACTCAGTTACTCATCACCACCAATGACCTCCTAGTCTCCTTTGACAAAGGCACCCAGGTCGACATGCAATTCTCGACTTCGCCAAGGCTTTCGACACTGTTCCACACAGCCTTCTTCTACATAAGCTCCACCACTATGGCATTACCAGCAACCTTCACTCCTTGCTCTAAACGTTCCTAATACAACGTACCATGCAAGTAGTGGTAGATGGCGTAATATCAGGGAAAGCCACCGTAGAGACAGGAGTTCCACAAGGCACAGTGCTTGGCCCCCTTCTGTTTCTCTGTCACATAAACGACCTACCCGATACAGTAAATTCTCAAGTGCGGCTGTTCGCTGACGACTGTCTTATCTACAGAGAGATAAACAGCAACGATGACCACAACCACCTCCAAACAAATTTGAAGTGCCTTATGAATTGGGGGGACAAATGAGGCATGAAATTTAATGATACCAAATGTTTCACTATGAAAATCTCAAGAAAAAAAACATCAACTCATATTTACTCACTAAACGAAACAATCCTCAAACAAGTATCCAATAGTCCAGACCTTGGAATTGTCTCGTCCTATAGCGTAAAATGGTCACCCTTATAAACAAAATTTCAAAAAAGCAAATTGCACCCTAGGTTTCATCCGAAGACATTTGCGCTACTGCCCAACTTCCTGCAAACGGAATGCCTGTCTCGCACTCATCCGTCCACTACTGGAATATGGTGCGATCATCTGGGACCCACACCTTAAGCAAGACGTGGACACGATGGAGCGAATTCAAGGAAATGTGGTGCATTTTATCGCTCGAGACTACAAATCCACCACTCCTGGCTTCGTCACTGGCCTCTTAAAAAGATTTGACTTCACTCCCCTTAAAGACATAGAGAGGGACTCCGCCTGACATTCTTATATAAAGTGGTCATGAAACTGGTGCTGGCCATACCAGCAAGCACGTACCTCACCCCACAGAAGCCAGGTAGACTGATCAGAGCAAAACGCTCACTGAACACGGACTTCACCACTGAGATTCCCATAAACAATTGCACCAGAAACAATAGCAAATGCTTCAAAGTGCCTCAGTGCAACACAGTGCAGTATCAAAAATCTTTCTTACCACGCACAATAATAGCATGGAAAAACCTGAACGAAGCCACTGTGAACTCGACATCAGTCGAAAGCTCCAAGGCTGCCCTGGCATCAGCTAGGAGCTGTTAGAATAGCAACATCATACCCTCAACCGTTGCAAAAATGCCAGTACATTGATGCAGCAACGAAACATGACCAGAACTAGAACCAGAGATGATGACATAAAACTATTTTTAAAAATTAGATGACATCCCACCCACTCCATCACTGCTACTGAAGATCAGTTTGATCAAAACGAAATCCTTCCCTTAAAAAATATTTCCGAAAGATTTGCCAATTCTTTTTTTTTCCCATTCTGTACCATTCACCAGCGTGCTCCCAAAGCGATTACCAAATTCGAATGATCAATAATTAATCCCTTCTTGTAACAAATGAAGTTCTTTACGTCTGTTTTTTACCCTAAAGAAAAAAATTAGTTGTCTTTTGTTTAAACTGTTATAATTATGAAGGTGTTTTGGGTAAAAAAAAATGTGTATTTATTTATTTGCATAGAATTATTTTTTGCAATGTGATGGACAACATTTCGATTTATTTGGATCAATAAACGAATCTTTTCTTATCTTATCTTATACTAAACACTATATTAAATGTAGTGTACCTGGTGTCTAATTTGAAAAGAAAACGATCCGTATATATTTTGGGTTTTTATTAAATTTGCCAATTCTCAAAAATATTCTTTATTATTTCTGCAGGACTGTATTATTTATGACTTTCTACATTTGCACACACTTCGTCGGCACTGCGTTTTTCACATTTGTAGAGATACTTGCCAATGCAGGGATAACGCTACAATGGATCACCCTTCTTTTAATCTTCCTGATGCATTGCTATAGAGCCTGCTTGGAATTGAAAACTACATACAAGAGTTTTCATAAGGTAGTATAGTGAAAATAACTTATGAGTCAAGATTTTCCTTTACGAATTTTTACGATGAGTTCACTGTTTTATTTTTAAATCTTTAAAGCGATAGATTCTTGAATCTAATTTAATGTAATTTTTTGTTGTTGAAATTCTTTATATTCAATTGAACACAAATAAAATCACAGGACATAGAAGCAAAACTTTTAGAGGTCTGCAAGGAGAATAAATCTACCGAAGAAGGCATGTACAAGGTATTTCTCGTCGTGACCCCTTCGGGACAGCAATCGACAGATGAGGTATTTAAATATCACACATTATATTTAATAAATTAAGCATTTTTGCACTTGATGAAGCACATTTTATCCTAATAACCTGTCTTGGAATTAGAAATTTCTCATTAATTTAAATTTTATTCTCGTAAATTTAATTGAAGAAGCTAGCTTTTGCTTATCGAGTTGTGTAGAAGTTTGGTGTTTACATAACTTTACATATAAAGCCATCATACTGGGCCCTTTTTGAAAATTACAACACAAAAAAAACAACAACAGATCAACAAAAACAAATTGCGAGAAAGAAGAAAAATTATATTCACAGAATATTTGCAATTCTTTCAAAGCAATTAAGTATTAAAATAAAGAAATGACTCAACAAATTCTGTTATTTTTAATTATTGTTTGCCTTTTTTGGCAGTTAGTGTCTAATTTCAGAATCATGTTTGACGACTTAGTCATGTGCCTTGTTTCACACTCTACTTTGAAAATAAGTTTCAAATGTTTTTCAAAGAGCTTTCTCACTCCTAAAGAAACAGAGGATATCTTTTGTTTAAAAAAATTAACAAGGGGTGGGGGATAACTGACACGTATATTCTTACGCTCTGATAGCCCCAGCTAGTACATTAGCAACCAATCACATCTGCTAGGCTGTGCCTATAAACATTATCCCACCGCATTATTCCTCTATCCGCAAAAGCCAGTGAAGGGCACTTGGTAACAGATGAGTGAGTATCTACAGGGCCAGCGTGTCAAGCCGGCATGTCGGGTCGTCTTTGCTCTCTAGCTTGTTGCAGTAAGAATTAGTAGGGAAGTGCTCAAATCTCATTTGGATTATGACTCAATTTCAAAAAGGTGTCTGTTCTGCTCGGGAGGGCACGTAAGTAATGACGGTTGATCTCGGGCATTCGTGCTGTCTGCCTATTTTGTGTTGGTCTAAGTGGTCTAAAACCCAGACTTTGACCTCAAGATAAGTGACTGGTGTTCTGGCTGAGAATGGATAGCCCCAGTTTATGTCAGGGTGTCTGGTTTTTTTATTGCGTCTATCGTTTACTTTACTTGGTATCCATCGCAGCGTTAACTTGCCTCCTATGTTCTCAACCTTGCCCACTTCATGCAAGATGGCGCCAAACAAGTGGGTGTAAAGTTCTTCCTTATTTAAGATCTTGAGACAAGATCTTCAATTGACAAAATCGATACCCACAAGCTCCAATCTCTGCAGCGTACTGTGCACACTTTTCAGGACCTTGTTAAAAGCTTCTAGATTGAAAATTTGATGCAAAGGCCTTGAGAGCTCCTCATTTGGTGGCCCTCTATTAGCGTACTAGTATATGATGAGTGCAGTGTAGCCGGCATTTCTTTCTCTCGTGTGAGCTCATTTCATTTAACGGACAAGTTCTGCACTTATTTTGGTATAGAACGCTGGCACTTGCAATTAAATTTACTCTTAGAGTCAGACTGTCTGTCTCAACAAGTCATAAGCACTTTACTGGTTCCACTGTGTAGGTGTTTTTTAACGAAAATTTCAAGCTCTCGGCATCTTGTGCATGTGCAGCAATATACCGACCATAACAGCCTTCAAAACTGCACTCAAAACATATATCTTTTTAACCTCTCCTATCCTAACTGATTACCCCTCTGACCGTTAAACGATGTTGTCGAGTGCCACCCATGGCTTGACATGTAAATAGTTCTGAATGGGTCGAGTGAATATTCATTTGTTTTGTTTTATTTAATTAATGTATTTTAATTTTTAAGTTCATGATTAGGTTTGTCAAATTGTATGTACAGCGTGGTGAGCCCAGCCCTAGGCAGGGATACCACAATATATAAAACCACTAATAATACTAATAGTAAACTGAGAATCCCGTTATATGCAATGTGTGTTTCTTCAGTAGCTTCTAGTAATAGAGCCGCTTCCTCTTCCCGGTTATGGAGTAGCTTCTTTAGTTTCCTTCTGACCCAGCTACAGTTAAGCTTTTTACCTACTCGTCTTTTTAGGGAGATGACCCACGGCAAATTGCCTAGGGTCCCCAGAAGCACCAGCGCCTGCAGAATATGATTGCATTTTAACTGCTAATGTTTAGTGAAACAAATTATATTTAAAATGTTTTCAAAATGCATGGTTCTCCATTTTCTTTAATTAGCGTTATTGAAATTGCTTGCATGAGGCAAAAATCAAAATATTTTTTTTTTATTTGATAGATATTTAAAACGCAATATTCAAAAAAGAAATAAGGTAAACAAACAATCTCCAACTATTTATGCAGAAAATCAATGGGTTTAAGCTATTATAAAAAAAATAATCTACTTCTTGGAACTCAGTGTCATTTCAGTTGTATGCATGTGTATTTAATTTGCTACTATATAAAAAGACAAGATCGTTTAAAAAAATAAATTTTGCTAATGGTCGAACCACGTGAAATTTACGTGTATGTGTCCCCTTTTCCCAAAAGCTGTAATTTAACAAATGTAATATTTTGGTGAATAATATTTTAACGAGAGACGTTCACATACATTTTTGTTTTTGTTTCTTTTTTAACACTGAGCTCCAAGAAGTAGATTATTTTTGGGATTAATTTATAAGGTAAACAAACATATTCCAACTGCTTTATGCAGAAAATCAATAGGTTTAATCTTAAGCTATGCAAAGATAATTTGTAAACAATGAAATCGGCTGGACAAATATTAATTAAAATCTAAACAACCTAAATTTTGATATTTCTGTTAAGGGAACACCAAGCAAAAAAAAGAATAAATATTTTGTAAAAGATTTTTTGTTTGCAATTTATTACAATTCATTGGGGACACTCAGTTAAATACATTTCTATCTTTTAACTGTTGCTAGACATACTTAAATCTACACCTCATATTATTTATTAGCAGGTAACTTTATTAGTATTAAACGTATAGGTGATTTATAGTTTAAATTTTTTTTAGGAAACCATGAGATACCACGGAATCTTAGTATATCCTAAAAGAGAACTGACAGGAGTAAAACAGGAGAAGCAGCCTGAAGAGGACGTCTCACTGCATGTTGTGACACTTCCCTTCTTCAAATGTCCGGGCTCCATAGCATCTAACATTGTAAGGGCAGCAAAAAAATTAATCGTGACGGCAGCAGTTTTATTTTTTATATTTCTTGTTGTGAAGGCGTACGGTGATGCAAGCGAACTATCAATGATAAACCAGCTTCTTGCTTTGATTATCGTGGCGTTCTTTCCATTCTGGTCAGGGTAAGTTGTACAAAACAAAACAAAGTAAAACACTTAAATGAAAAAAGTTTTAAACATATGAAGTCAAGGATGCGGGAACGAAGTTATGATGACGTTAGCGTGCAGGCAGCAAGTAATGATAAAGTCAAGGGTGCGGGCAGCAAGTAATGATAAAGTCAAGGGTGCGGGCAGCAAGTAATGATAAAGTCAAGGGTGCGGGCAGCAAGTAATGATAAAGTCAAGGGTGCGGGCTAAAGATTATGATGAAGTCAAGGTTGCGGGCAGCGAGTAATGATAAAGTCTAAGGTGTGGGCAGCAATTTATGATGAATTCAAGGGTGAGGGCAGCAAATAATGATAAAGTCTAGAGTCTGGGCAGCAATTTATGATGAATTCAAGGGTGCGGGCAGTAAATAATGATAAAGTCTAGGGTGTGGGCAGCAATTTATGATGAATTCAAGGGTGAGGGCATTAAATTATAATGCCGTCAAGTGTTTGGGCAGCAAGTTCTAATGAAATGAAAGGAGCGGACAGCAATTAATTATAAAGTCTAGGATGCGGGCAGCAAGTAATGATAAAGTATAGGGAGCGGGGTTCAAGTTATGATTAAGTCAAACAAGCGGAAAACATGTAATAATGAAGTCAAGCGAATCTGACCAGACGACAAATCAAATTGTTTGCTGTTGAGCCAAATGCTGCCTACATTTTATAAGAAATCGTATATTATGCATAAAAAAGGTTATTTCCTTATCACTAACATAATATGTTTTCATAAAAAATCACTATAACATATAAGGCATTTCAATCCTACAGATGTTTCTTCGCAGTGCCTAACACAGATCACTTGCAGCAAAACAAATGTATATCAAGAATATATAGAAGACCTCAGAAATGCAACCTAATTTTTCAAAAAATAAATAGAGCTACAAATCCACAGGATCATGAAAGTATCCTGACAGAAACAAGAAATTCAAGTTCATTACAAACTGCAAACAACTTGTCAGAATACGATTTTCTCTCAAGTATAGTTATGGGAGCATTTGAAGTTCGTTAACTGTGTGCTGCGAAAGTTGAACTATTATTTGTTTTAATCTAAAACCCTGCAAAAACAAGGTGCTAAAAAATGACATTGAGCTATTTAATTATTAGTGAAACGACTAGTTTTAAGACAATGTGACCGTAACTTAAAATTTATTAGATGTAGTCATGTAATCCTACGTTAATACAAACATTTAACGTTTTTTAAAGTTACATAGTAAGGCGTCGTTCATAAAGGACATCATCACAAAATAAATTTATTGTTTTTTTTCATTAAATTCTACAAACACACTTTTTCCAAAATTGTCCATTTGGTTCTCAACCCCCCCCCCCACACACACTACTTACGCGGTGTTGCCGACGTCTGAAGGTCCATATGGACATATTGGAAGATCAAAACGATATGATCGAGCAATGAAAGACGCATATAATTATAATATCCTTGACGGCTTTAAAAATACTTTTAACAGTGATGGAACAAATTGACTTCCAATACACTAAAATAGACTCTTACATCCAATGAAAATTTAAAATTTAAATGTTTTATGAATTGATCCCAGTTGCTTTTGTATAGCTTCCCGATAGTTTGCAAAAATTAACATCTTTTTAAAAAAAAACATTGTCCATAGTATCGATATTATTACCATGTGAATCAATACTTAAATAGTATTACACTAAATTACAGTCATGATAATTTAATTTGTGTATAGATACTTTAATTTAGTTTCCATTGAAAATTTAGGTTACGTAATTAAGAAATTTGGTCAAAACATAAATATTCTACATGTATGCATAACTGTATTTTTCTTGCTATTTTTAACTTTAGACAAGTTTTCTAACTCTAGACTATCAATCAATTTTTTATTCTGACACCTATGCAGTGATGGTTAAAAAATATTGATATTTTTCGTTTCATTTAATTATTTCAATGTTGTAAATTTGCATGCAGTCAAGACGTGTAATCTTAACAACAAAAATAAATTCATAATACAAATATTATGATAAAAACTATATTGATTCATTATTGTTTAACACAAATATACATATTTTCCTAAATTCAAGTTACTAACACTTCATTGAACTTTAAAATTATTTTTAAATGTCACTATTTTAAAATCGAAAAAAAAAACGGTAAGAGAATATTCAAACTTACTATTAAATGTATACATGTTATATCTAATCTCCATTTGATTATAATACGTCGATATTGTTTGTTCAACATTATTTGGTTTTATTTATTTCATCTTTTTTCAATAAAAAAATTAACATTTTTTTAAAAGCAAAGAATTTAACTGCATAGTTTTCTCTTCATACAATGACTTACCGGGTACTTAATATGATTGTAAATGTGGACATTTAAATGCAAACAATTTAAAATGATAGTGTGTCACTTAAGATTTAACTTCTTTTTTTTTTTGTTTTGGCTTTAGCTTGTTGCATAGCAAATAAGGTTGTTCTTTTAATTTCGCCCCACACTGGAATATTGTAAACATATGTATTGTGAAATATTTTATGTTTAGATAAAAAAAATTGTTAAATGTATGTTTGAATTTTCTTTTCTTCTTTTTTTTTCTTTCTTTTTTTAAAATATTTTGGAACACTTGTTAAAGATCCTCAACAACTGTTAGATTACTATGTGAGTTTATCAAGTTCTGCTTCTATTAATTTAATTCATTCTTTTTCTGAGTCCTACATAAATGTTGCTGTCCCAAAATGTGTTGATTAATTAACTCTGCTCATATAAATACATTGATTAATTAACTCTGATCATACGTTACATTAAGAAATGGCGTCAGCGGGCCATCGAGCTGGCGCTCTTTATGCTTTCCCAAAACACACCTCCCCAACCAGGTATCGGGCCGCGGAGCGGCACGTCAGGTATGTCCCTTTGTCAGGACAGCCCCTACCCGAGTCTGATCAACCAGAGTATCCGCCGGGGGCCGTCCTAACTCAAAGACATAACGTCGGTCCGACATTGTGTTTACACACAGTGCACACGATCGACTTTCTCAGGAGTCGGAATAGAAAATTTTACGTCCTAATATCTTCCCCCACCCACCCTGGGAAACGTTGGACGCCCAATAAGAGGGATTCTACAGTGGGTTTGAACAACACAACTAATTAGTGATGTAGCTGGGACGAAACAGTTGCCTTGGAGCAGCTTCTCAGGCATGCGTAGTAACTCTGCTCATATAGATGTAGTGATTAATTAACTCTGCTCATATGTTACATTAAGAAATGGCGTCAGCGGGCCATCAAGCTTGCGCTGTTTATGCCCTCCCCAAAACACACCTCCCAAACCCGGTATCGGGCCGCGAAGCGGCACTTCGGGGATGTCCTTTTGTCAGGAGTAATTGAGTAATTAACTCTGCATATATAAATTTATTCATGATTAATACTGCTCATATAAATGTATTGATTAATTAACTCTGCTCATTTAAATGTATTGATTAATTAACTCTGCTCAAATAAATGTATTGAAAACAGCTTCACAAGAATCTGTAGATGCGTCAAGAAGACAACTTTATTTATTTTCTTTATGAAGGTTATTTCCACAAGAAAAAATTAGTGCGAGCAAATCAGACATTTCTCAATCACTAATTGGATTGGATGAAATGCTTTTGGAAATTTTGATTTTGATGAAAAAAGACATACGTCATTTGCAATAGGTCAGACAAGCAATGTATACAAATAATTATAAAATGGTACATTTTAATGAGGGGAAAGGATTTAGAAAGACAAGAATATGATATTGTTATTTTCATCTCGTCCAGACACTTTCAAAATAAAAAAAATCACATGTCTCATAATCTGTGTTTCTTATATTATGATGTATTTTGAGTTTAAAACTTCTCCTATAACTATAAATAAAACGAAACTCATTATATTGAATACACCATTAACAAGGAAAAACATTTTTTGTTATTTGTAATACTCCCCATAAACAAAATTCAAATATTAAGAACATTTTACTTTTACCATGGAAATTCATCAATGTAATTATCCAATTATGATATGATATATGTGGTGTATCATATTCCCAAGCCACACAGGAACATTATGTTTCTTAAGTATGTAGTTACTATGTACCAGGTTTGATACTCTTGGTTCATAGCAAATATTAGTCTTGTATTTATCAAATAAAGTATTAATTTATTATAAAAAAACACAATTAGTATTTTTATTATGAAATTTTTTATATTATTTATTTTACAAACAATTTGATTAATTTTGATGAAATGTCATGAACATCTAGAACAATAAACATTCAAGTATTAGTACTATTGAGCAGTTGATGGCATCAAATTCAGTGGAATAATATTGTGTAGATAGGAGTTTCTTGGGTCATGTTAGGAGATGAAGTTGAAGAATAACAGAAAAAAATCAATTAATGAATCTGATGAATTTGGAAATTTACACTTCTTAAACTTTCAACACTTTTAGCAAAAATAAAAATAAAAAAATTGCCTAATTCATTTTTTTCCCAATCTTTTAGAAATTCACAAAAATGTTGTTAGCAAACTCATACGGAAATGATAGCCATCATCTTTTTTTCCTTTTTCATTTTTTCTGTTTTTAATTTTTTCAATATAATCAACAATCTTCGTCTATTCTAAAAAGAAGCTGATTTATGGCATCAGATCTATTAATAGATTTTTTAAAAAGTTATCATTTGCATATTTGTGTTTTTAAAGTTTATAGGATTTATAGTACGAAGATGTTCTTCTTGAGCAGTGTCTCCAAACATTTCAGTATTCTGTGTTTCACCACTAATGGAGCTGGAATCAATATATCAGTATCCGGAGTAAATAATGATACCATTTGCCTTCATAATTTCTTCTTGCTGTGATTTTAAGTCAGATGACTCGTAGCACTGACTTGTTCCAGGTATATTGGTCTTAGTTTGTCTAAGAATGTCCACGAGGAATAAAAGATGGGAGCAAAACTTCCATGAAGACTAATCGGTAAAAAGCTTCGTTACCTTTTGTATTTTTTTAGATTTTGACCTGCTCTTTTCGAAAGATATCCCTCAAGGTTTGCCATTTATTTTCTTAACTTGAGCTGAAAATTTAATTTTTTTTTAATTGCTTTTAGATATTTTAATGACATATTCTTAATTTATTAGCACTCTATTTATTATATGTTCCTCATTTTTGATTCATGTTGCCAAAAATATCATTCAGGATAAGAGAGTTGTGCATTGCAAATAGTGAATTCACTTTGTTTGCCATTGAAAATGTGGGTTGTAAAATTGAACCACTGTCAACATGTTTATAATACTAAAGATTAATTTCTATACATTACAAATTTATGTATTTTAGGGGTATACATTTATATTTTATTGTATTAGTCTACAGATCCAAATATATTGTTAAATCTAAAGTCTTATAGATATTTGCATATTGAATGGAAAAAAATGCAGTTTCTGAAATGGTTTGTTTGTCTCCTCTAAAGATTTATTTGCTCGATACATATTGATCCTTGATCTAACAACAACAAATATAAGTTTCTGTGCCCAGATTGAAAGACTTAAGGACAAACTATTAATATACAACTAATCAACATAATTTGTCTGAGCAAAACAATACTATTTGTATTACTAAATAGGGCCTTCAAAAGAATTTTCAGAAGAGACAATTCATGCCACCGTTAAGGCTTGAAAGAATGAAAATATTAAAGAAATTGAGTTTCGAATCTTGTCCATTATATTTCCATTTAATCATAACGAGTAATTAGGCTTATATAAGCAAATAAGAAATACACTGTTACGTTAGATTAAATGTGAGAGTTTTTGTAATGGATCAAACAATATCCATTATTCAAGCAAATTATTATTTTTCATTATATTGCTTATATTTTTTTTTCCACCTTAAGTTATAGTCTGCCATCATCAGCATGACGGAAGAAGAATTCAGTAAAGATCAGCTGCTAGAAAAATATAAAACAAAAACAATTTTACGCTCTGCCTTCTATATTGAGAAATGAATCTCCTATTTTAAATGTAAAGCTCTTTCAAACAGTGCCTACCAAAGGACGATACCATAGAGAAATGCAAATAACAAAAATACGACACCCCAAAACAGTACCAATTACAATTAATAAGATTTAATAGACTTATAATACAATTACAAGACAAAAGAAATATAATTACAAATCATCAACTTACAGAGTATGGGAAAATCCTGTACCGGTACACAATT